GAATTAATGTTGATTTATGCTTCAGGATGTCAACCTGAACGAAATACATGTTGAAATATGTGCACAAATCCTTTTTCCTTGTTTGACAGAAACTAATCAGCGCAGACATGCTGGACTGCTACAAGAACTATTTACATCACACTGTAGGCTGGTGTGGCTCTGTTATTTGAAATAAAAAGGCAAAATATTGAAGATTTGCATACAAATTGAAATTATTAACATCCAAATGCCTTACCCATCTTTTAATTGGAACAATCACAAACCGCATATTTTACTCTCAGACACTGAGGTCAGACATTATTAGCATGTTGTTTAAAAACAATTTCAAACAAGTTTTCACATTATTGGAACGCGTGTAGCACATGAGTGTGTAAAAGAATAAATTATGAAAATGAGTGATGTCATGTGGGTGGCATGTAAAAATGTACTAATTTTGGTGGTATCCTGTCCTGTTAGATCAGGGGTGCCCATTACGTCGATCCTGATCTACCGGTAGATCTAAGACAGGTCCCAAGTAGATCCGAGGAGTGTCGAGGAGAAAAAAACAAACAACCATTTGTCTGTTAGTAATATATTTTTTGTGTTAATGTACGCTGCACCCTAATCATCCTATCAGTCTCATTTTCACAAAAAAAATATATTGAAAAAATAAAATAAAGCAGGTAAATCTTGAATTTACGGTGGCGCGTGATTACGTCACCGGAAGTTGTTAGCGCTCAGCAGTCTGCAATTGCAGCTTGTGATCAGAGCTGTTGCGCTCTATCTTTTATCGTCATTATTCTCATTCAGAGTTTGCTTCGTGTACAATTCACCGAGGGCACGGGCAAACAATAGGAATCTAGGAGGGCCCAGGGAAGCACTTTAAAACGGTACATGTGAGCTACGATAGTTAACAGGCTGCAAAAGTTCAGTGTGTGTGTGTGTGTGTGTGTGTGTGTGTGCGTGTGCGTGTGCGCGCGCGCACACGCGCGCGTCCTGGTAAGGGTAGATCCCGGGAGGTTAGTTGATCGAAAAGTAGATCTTCGGTCCAAAACGTTTGGGCACCCCTGTGTTAGATGATGAACAGCACCGTACTAAATTTTTAGTGGGTAAGACCTTTGTATTTGTATTTTAGTCTACCTGAAGCAGAGTCCAGTTTCTAATTTTTCAATAAAAACAGGTTTCTTGCTTTATCTTGCCGTAATTGTGTCAGTATTTCCACAAGTGCACACACAAATGGGATGGCACAAATAAATTCTCATTAAATTCTAATCCCTTCACGTCATGATCACGTTCTGTTCGTGTCCAGCAGGTGACAGAGTTGTTCCCGGTTTTCCTGCTGGCACTATTTAAGGACCTCATTGACCCATGTCAATCTGCTGGATAATTTCGCCTTGATCAAGTCATTGTTCATGTGCAGTTCATCTACACGCTCTTTTATTACCCTCGCTCCGTTTTTGGCTCTTGCCTTGATTTATGTTTTCTCTGTGTTTTGGCTCTTGGCTTTGCTTATGTTCTTCGTTATTCAACTAAGTAGTTCTTGGTGTGTTTCAGTGCATCAATGGTTTGTTCTCCACGCGGTTTGGTCTTTCTTGTACTTTTGTAACAAGCTATTTTCGTTCAGGTTTTTTTCCTTGCCTTGTGCAAGCGCTTTTTGTTTTCTTGGCATTATTCCTGCCTTGTTGTCCAGCATTAGTATTTATACTTTGTCGGTCTTGCGCCAATTTTTTTTGTAAATAAATATTTTTGTTCGATCAACTTTCTTGAGTCTACGTTTGTCGGGTCCAAATCTGTCTGGAACCTTCCGGGCGCCCAACACTTCTATTTATTTGTACAATATTATACTTTTTAAAATCTACCTACTCATGGCACAAAATTAAGATTTCAACCAAGTGTAATTTGCCCTCAAAAAGTATTCTGCACGCCTTCATTTTTTGGGGTGATGCTGTAGTGGAGTGTTATCATCAAATTGTACACCAAACAAATGATCAGATGGTCATCCCGGCTGAGATCGAGCCGAGAGAAATTTCAGGACTTCAACCCGATTTCTACAATTATCAACAACCAATATATTAAGATCTTTATAAACTAAATGTTTGTGCCAAACAGTTAAAAGCTGATGATTTTGATTGAGCTGCAGATTTTGGTGATTTTGATCGAGGTGCAGGCAAACAGATTCTGAGCATCTCGACAAGTGTGGTGGATGTCATTGTATTTTATTCATAAATATGACATCAACATGCATCGAATCTTCTGAATGATTACAGAATTCAATTAATTGAACGTGTTTTTATTATCATCAGCTTTATGATATATTTTTAAAATCATCCCACTGGCCGGGGGTCACAGCTATGGAAGGTGGTGTGGATAGGGGTTGTCACTGAGTGGAAGGTTGTCTCCAAGATGGCCTCTTCACAGATCTATGATCTCCCTCGTGTCATGATTCGGTTTGGGACCAACAGGTGGCACTGTAGGGCTCTCCTGCAGCTGCACACCTGTTGGTCATTAGGTATTTAGTGGCTTTAAAAGGACTCCCAGCCCGAGCAATCATTGTCGGGTCATTGTTGCTTTGTGCTACTGTCATGTTTGTTTGCTGTCATGTTTTGGTCAGTGGTATGTTTTGGTCAGTGGTATGTTTTATCTTCAGTCATGTGTTTTGTTTGATACTTGGACTTTGTTTGTTTTGGATTTCGTTTTCTCTGAGTTTTAATACAATCTTTCAAGTACACCCTGCTCCTCCCTCCTGCCTGTTTTTTGGGGTCCACCACCACCTCGCAAACGTGACACCGAGCCAACTTTGAATTATCCGCCCTAGAATTATTGTTCCTTCGAAATTTACTTTCCACTCCTTGACCTCTCGCAGGACTCAAGCACATGGCAGCTGGTCTCTTGCACATGGCATTGAAAGGTTATGAGAGGAGCTGCTTCGATTGGCAGTGAAACAAGTTGTCTCATGCAAAACATGCGCCATACTGCAACACCTTGCATGGGTCTGAATACCAAACTTAGTCTTGTCCACCCCAACAGACATTTACACTATGCCGTGTGCAAGACTTGCAAATAAGAGCTCTTACTTTAAGTGTAGTGCTTCCTAAATATATGCCGTGTGTGATAAAGAACATGTTTTTAATGTTCATCTTACCATTCAAAATCATGCGCTCGGCAAATACAAGACTCAGCAGAGAGGATTCTTGAGTAGTCTTTGCCGAGCATGCAGTAGTTTCCTGGACGACGTTTCATGTAAATCTGTTTTTGTCCCATAATACATGGCTCACCCTGCGGAGGAGGAGGGGTGTGGAGGGGTTGGGGGCGGGGGGCGGGGGGCGGGGGGGACTTTTAAGTGATGATCTTGTCATAGTATACACAGCAACATGGACGGCAGAGTTTTTTTTTTTTTCTCACCTGATTGTGCAAATGCCATGTTTGGTAATCTTCCTCAGTACATTTCCTACTGAAGATCGACTTGTAGTCTATCTTGATGAGCTGCCATTCCGAGCGGTGGCTGAAGTGCCCAAAAAATCTGAAGTACAACGCAGAAAATAATAGCTACTTTAAAAACATTTTACATGTAGCTGCCTGATGAGTGGGTCAAAATAAAGTCTTGCGATTCAAGTAAAATTCCAATATTTGCACAAAAAACAATCTCGATCTACATGCATGATATTATTTCACATGATGTACATAATGGCGGGCTTTTAATAGATACGAACCGACATCTACCCGCGAGCGATAGGGCAAAATAAGAATATTTGTATCAAGGCAACATAAGACCCATGACAATTGAAAAAAAAACGCGGATTTGGCAAAGTGTCTGCACCGGATGCGTTGTTTGCACATCCGTCTCACATGTAAGTGGTTGGTGATTTCAATCCGAATCTATCAGGTGTGCTTTCGTTGGTTTTCTTCAAGTACTCCGATTCCATTCCACATTCCAAAAACATGCTTCTTGTTATATTGTGTGAACAATATTGTGAATGGCTGTAACTGGTTGGTGGCCAAACCAGGGTGTACTTCTTCTCTTGCCCAATGTCAGCTGGGAAATGCTCCAGCTCAGCAGTGACCCTTGTGAGGATAAGTGGTATCGAACTGTACAGTACAAATATCTTGTTTTTCATATTGACAATTATCTCACTTTCAATCTCTATATCTAAAGATCTGGTTAAGAAATTAAAAGTAACATCGGGTTACTTTTATATCATAAGTCTTGTTTAACATTTAACCCTTTCAGGGACAGCGGTTGCTACAGTGAGCAACTTACCACAAATAAAATGTATTATTATTATTATTGTTGTTATTATCATGTTATCAGGTTACAGGGTGGATGAAAGTGTTAAAACCCAAAGGAAAGGTGTAGCAACGTTCCTCCCAGTCTTAGGGTTAGAGATTATGGTGGCATTATCTACAGGACACGCATCTGTTCAGGCACTGCAGTTGCTGGACATAGTTACGGCACTCTCTGATTCATCTCATCTTTCAAATCGCATAGTCATTTTTGTCTTCTTTATTCCAATGTTGGCTGGCTGTCTCTCTCTTGACAACATTTTATTCACTGGTACGTTTTTTACGTACAGTTGCATATCACACTCAAACCAAGCAGTATCTTAGTTCACTGGATCCTTCCTTCCAGTCCCCAAAGTCAGGGATATAAACTGTCCAACATACTTTAATTTAATAGATTTTTTTTGTAATCATGCATATCATAACCCCTCAAGGGAAAACTCAACTTGCAATTTGCTATAATCTTTCCTTCTGACTGGATGGAGTCAGCTGCAAAATTAGCTTCGTGTTTGAGAAATGGGCTCCCCAATTTGTTTTAAAACTATTTTGGTCAGATTCGAACAGAGGCTATTTGGTAGTAATTATTTCATCTGAGATGTATGTTCTTAGATTTGATTGTATTGTTATGGAGCCTCACGTGATGCTTCGTCTTGGCCAGGTCACTCTTGTAAATAAACTGTAAATCTCAATGGTTTTGCAACCTGGATAAAGTTTATGGATTGAAAATAAACATCAACAAAAAAAGTGGTTGCAGTATATCTGAAAGCATTGCCGTGGCCAAATTGTGGTATGGATAAGTGAATTATGCATTACTGTGCATATCCTGATCAAGAAATAGTCAGAACTACACACCGAATGTGGTCAGAGGTCATTTATGTTGCAAACAAAAAGGCAGTCACTCGTGGAGAAATTTCTAGAGTTGCTGCAGTCGTTCCACATAATAGAGGAAATCAGCAAGTTATCACCTTCGTGCAATTGAGGCAAGATTCTGGATTCCCTATGTATAGTACATGTAAGACATAGGTGTCAAACTCTGGTCCTGGAGGGCCGCCTTTCTGCATATTTTTCATCTCTCTCTGTTGCAACACACCTGATTGAAATAATCAGCTCATCAGAAAGCTCTGCAGATGCCTCATATCGAGCCTGTTCATTTGAATCAGGTGTGTTGCAACAAGGAGAGATGGACAACATGCAGGACAGCCGCCTTCCAGGACCTGATTTTTGACACATATGAAAGTCTAACAAGTACACATATGATGTAAGTGCAAAAATTGAGTTTTCGTGAATTGTACAGTATAAATTCTAGAAGTAGTACAGGTAAAATAATTCACATCTCTAAAAAAACAAGGACAAGTGTAAAACATCTAAATTTAGGTAGTCCCCCCTATTGATTTAAAAATTGTACGAACATTTGAATTGTGTATGATGTATGTATAAACACAATGTATTTTTTATGCCATTAAAAGTGCAACAAATTTCCTACATGGTACTTTTAACTGTCGTTTCAAAATTGTAATTTTAAATGGCAGATTGCCTTTGGGTATCGTATAGCTCCTGAATCTGTTTAGCCTTTAAGCTCTGCAAAAAGTAACTCAGATGACCTCACGAATGCAAGTCTTTTTAACGTACAACATCACAACACACCCTGAAAAGAAGTAATCATTTCATACTGAATGTTTGCAGTTAGGGAATTTGTAAGACTTACGTCATAATCTGGTTCTCTGCCCCAGCTTCTACCAAAACGCCGTCCACGAACAGAGGCACAGAGGAAAAGCTGTGTTGGGTCCATTGCCTCCCTTCGTCAAAGCTGACCCTGTACATGTGTGTCAAAACACATTCCCATCACAAACCCAGCAACAGCAATGGCACGCAAAATAGAAACTCTCTATTAGAGCTTGGTCATAGGGGAGGATTAAGGTTGAGATCACAATCACTATAGTCTAAACAGACGTGATTCACAGCCTCTGTGTACAGTGCCGTGAAAAAGTATTTGACCCCTTCCTGATTTCTGTGTTCTTTGCATATCTATCACACACGAAGGTTTCAGTTCATCAAACCAATTTTAATACCACACAGAGATAACCCAAGGGAATACAAAGTACAGTTTATAAATGTCAATTGAATTTATTTGGACAAAAAAAATTTTAAAAATAAAAAAATACCTGTCCCAAAGTGAAAAAAGCAATTGCCCCCTGAACCTACAAATGGGATGTGGAGCAGTAACTGAAATCAAGCATTTGCGATAATTAGTGATGAGTCATTCACATCGCCGTGGGGGGATTTTGACCCACCCTTCTTCGCAGAATTGTTTCAACTCTGCCATATTGGAGAGGTTTCTAGCATGAACTGACACTTTAAGGTCACACCACAGCATCTCAATTGGATTTAAATCTGGATTTTGACCTGGCCACTCCAAAACCTTAATTTTGTTTTTGTTAGCCATTCAGAGGTCGACTTGCTGGTGTGTTTTGAATCGTCCTGCTGCATGTTCCAAGAGCGCTTGAGTTTGAGGGTGCAAACTGATTGTCGGATGTTCTCCTTTGACTTCCGCTGTCTACCAGAAAATCCCATTGTCCCATCAATCACAACAAGTTGTCCTGGTCCTGAGGTAGAAAAGCAGCCACAGGCCACCACAGTGCCACCACCATGCTTCACTGTTGGCATAATGTTCTTTTTATCAAATGCTGTGCCATTTTTACCCGAGATGTAGCGGGCTGCACATCTTCCAAAAAGTTCAATTTTTGACTCATCAGTCCGCAGAATGTTTTTCCAAAAGTTTTGAGGATCATCAAGATGTCTTTTGGCAAATGTGAGATGAGCCTTTGTAACCAGTGTCTTTCTTGTGGTAGATTCATGAACACTGATCTCAACTGATGCCAGATCTGGAGTTCTTTGGATGTTGTTATAGGTTCTTTTGCAACCTCCGAGGTCATCGTAATCTTGGAGTAATTATACCTGGTCAACCCCTCCTGTTTGACACTGTTCTTAGTTTTATCCATTTGTGGGGAATGGCTCAGACAGTGGTTTGCTGTAACCCCTGAGTTTTGGGAATGGCATTGTAACCTTTTTGAGACTAATAGATTTCAATAACATTTTTTTAATTCTTGAATTTCTTCGGATGGTGGCATGATGCGTTTGTTTCTTGAAGTCTTGGAGCATACATCACTTTGTCTGACAAGTTCTATTTATGTGATTTTCTTGATTCAACAAATGTGGTGCTAGGGTGTTGCCTGTGAAATTGAACTCAGCTTTTCCAAAACTGTCGTTAGTCACAGTTACTTGGTTTTTTTGACAAAGAGGGGCAATTACATTTTCAGAGGGTCAGGGAGGTTTGGATTTTTTGTGCCTTAATAAAGTGAATTGGCATTCACATCTTGTATTTCCTTGGGTAGTGTCTGTTTGATATTAAAATAGGTTTGATGAACGGAAACCTTTGTATGTGATAAATATGCAAAGAACACAGAAATCAGGAGGGGGGAAAATACTATTTCAAAACACTGTAATTAGCTGCAGAAGATTTCAGCAAATGGTATTATAACAGTCTGGTTATTAAAGTCAAGATCCCCCCCTCCCCCAAATACAGAGAAAATATGAGAAGCAAAAACATTCATGGTAGATATTACAAAATCAACTTTTAAAAAAATAAACAAAAGTAGAAAGAACTCTTTCATGTGCAAGTGCTAAGGAGAGGGAGAACATGTAAGGGCAACTTTCATCATTTGGAGAATGAGCTCAATTGATTTTGACAGTTTTTTTCCACTTTCTTTCCTGCAAACACATACACCCCCACCACCATCCGACCCTCGCACACACGCATGTGGCCGCAACAGAAAAACAAAATCCCTCACAGCCTTCATTTGGCATAAACACTGACAACACAAATAGCTCAGATTCATACCTATTATGAGATACTAGGTTGGAAAGCAGTCACTGAATACCCAACAGTTAAAATCACATGTGCCACAGCAATATGCAGGTGGCATAAAGGTAGCTGTTGTTGTTGTTGTTTTTTTTTTCTTTCTGGCAAATAAATTGGTTGCGAGATAAAGAAGCAAAAACATTCATGGTAGATATTACAAAATCAACTTTTAAAAAAATAAACAAAAGTAGAAAGAACTCTTTCATGTGCAAGTGCTAAGGAGAGGGAGAACATGTAAGGGCAACTTTCATCATTTGGAGAATGAGCTCAATTGATTTTGACAGCAACTCAACTCTGAAGCTGAAGTGAGAACAAGTTGGAGTACCTGAGTGTATGTGGCATGCAGAAACACTGCTGAGGCCACAAATTTGGAGAGAGAGAGATATCCCCACCCCCCACACCCCCACCACCATCCGACCCTCGCACACACGCATGTGGCCGCAACAGAAAAACAAAATCCCTCACAGCCTTCATTTGGCATAAACACTGACAACACAAATAGCTCAGATTCATACCTATTATGAGATACTAGGTTGGAAAGCAGTCACTGAATACCCAACAGTTAAAATCACATGTGCCACAGCAATATGCAGGTGGCATAAAGGTAGCTGTTGTTGTTTTTTTTTCTTTCTGGCAAATAAATTGGTTGCGAGATAAAAAGCGTCACACTTACTTTCCAGTTGTTGTCATGATGAAAAATAGGACAACTGAAATGTTTTTGACTTCGAGTAGGGTGGAAACTGACCCACCACTCCCAATTGGACAAGAGGGAGGCGGATGTGTGAGTGGACGTAGTAAATGGGGCTTAAATAACTGAATGTTAATGACAAGTGGCTTGGGGGGGAAAAAAAAATAAACAAACAAACAAAAAAAAAAAACAATTTAAATTTACTTTCTTGCCATCAGCCAAAATGGATGTACCCTCGAGAGAAAAGGGAACAGTCAATGTGTATGTCACATATTGTACATCATCAAGCTTATTAATCATCCATCCATTCATCCATCTCTCCACTTTCTATTCGTCATTATGGTGAGTTGGAGCCAATACCAGCCAAATACACCTTTGACTGGTTGCCAGCCTTGGCAGGGTTACATACCAAACAATCATATCAAACAATCATTCACACTCACATTTAAACTGAAATGACAATTTAGAGTCTTCAATGAACCTAACATGTTTTTGGAATATGGGAGAAAGCAGGAGTTCCCAGAAAAAAAACACTCATGCGTGCACGGTAGAGAACATGCAAACTCCACACAGGACGGCCACAGGATTCAAATCCCAAACTTCAGAACTGTGAAGCAGATGTGCCAACCACTTGTCCAGCATGCCGCCTATTTAAATCATAAGAAATGAATTAACTTCATGTGACTATGAAAAGCAATACAAAAGGGAACAAATCAAACTGACATACCATAAGTGTCTGGTTGGTACAGAAGGTTGTTTTACGGCAACAAGGGCCCCTCCTTTGTCCAGAAACCAAATATTGTGCTCCTCTTCAAAAATCTGAACATTAATGATCATACATAGATAACATAGTGGTAAAAAAAAAACAAAAAAAAAACGAATGTAACAAAGACATGCCCATTGACATCCATCTTTAGACAAGGAGTTGTATTAGCTAAATCCTACCAAAGTAGCTTTTCAATAACAAATTGAAACACGCACACACGCACAGGAGATGCATTAGCTAAATCCTACCAAAGTAGCTTTTTAATAACAAGTTGAAGCACGCACGCACTCACACACACACACACACACACACACACACACACACACACACACACACACACTGAAAATAGACTTAGTTATGATGAAGCTCTCACCTGTCTCCAGCTATTTCCGGCATCAGATGATATATACATGCCAACATTGTTGTAGGACAGCTCAGCTCCAATATTCCCTGCACTCAGCAGAATAAATAACACAACAAAACAGATAATTGATAACATAAGAGGGGCACAACATACTCACTTATGATTAAGAAATACTATTAAGTTCTCAAATTTTTTTTTCTGTTTCATTTTTTTTAACTCCATGAGAAAAGAATTGCATCGTTCATGTTGCAATCAAATCACAAAATATATGTCTTTTTATTCATCCCTCATTACAACATATACAAGCAAGCACTCTCTCCCGTAAAGCAACATTTCCTTCAGATTCGCTGGATTCCAGGAGCATGCAGAAAGTAGGCATCCTTTTATTTTACTGCCCTGCTGTGTCTGAAGTGGATGAATGTATCAAAGCTTCTGAGGGTAGCCACTCATCAAGTGAGAAAAACAAACAAACAAAAAAAACACAAGAAACTGATGAAAACTTGGCCTGCCTCCCTCCCCCTTTTCTTTCTCACTCTGAGATTGCTCAAATATTAAGATAAATACTGGAGCAAAGCCCCTACACCTACTTTCATGATAGCTTTCAGCTTTTCTTCACTTGAAAGCATCTCCAGCTAGTTGGATGACAACCAGCGGTCATTAGCTCATGATTGTTCACATTGCTTTCAACATGCACAGAGCCACGTGAACAAAAAAACCTCCAGCAAAATCGTTACTACTGTACCTTTAATGCTATTTAGATTCTGGACTAGCTTCCAGTCAACTATGGGACACGTATAGAGTAGATAGACACACAATTTACTGAAAGACCGTGACAAAACCCATGCAAGCTGACGGACATGCGGTGGACATGAAATCGCCACGCAGAAAGGTTGGAGCCCAGATTCAAACCCCGAACCTGATTATGGGGCAGATCTGTTTGCCACATGGCACAACATGTAGCCAGAAAAATCAAAGTAAGCCTAACTTTCAACAATGAGTTATCTATATACTGAGATCTGGGTTATTGTGAATCTATTTCAGGTATGTTTAAGTGATGGTTTGAAAAATTTGCTCAGTTGTATCGTTTTCAAGTGTCTGCATACACAAGAAACGCCACAAAAGGCATGCATGCACACAGCAAGCTTTCAATCTCCCCATGTATGTGATTATTATGCTCCTCACGCTCCACTCTCAGGGCTGTAAAACTGTTTTTCGGTTCATGTAAATAATAGAAGACTGCAAGTTCTCCCCTATGGATGCCTGCAGCGTTCAGACAACATAATGCAGTCTTTGCACTAGCTGATGTCTTAAAAGGTGCAGCAAGCAAATTCAATCACACCAATAAAGCACAAAAGAAAAGGCTCGGCCACCAGTAAACACGATACCAGATACTGTAAAATTTAATAGTCCCATCCAAAAAAAAAATTGCTGTATATTTTGTGTGTCATGCAAGACAAAGAACCAGATCACACACATACAGGCATGCAGGGACAGACTCCAAAGCTTGGGTTGCTAGTTACTCGTCAGGAAGCAGACTGGCATCTCTCCAAGATCGAGGTTACATTTTATGTATTATTAATTGTATTTCTTTGGGCATATTCGGATTTGTTTTCAACAATTTAAAATTTTTTTCAGCGACATGAAAAACAGTTTGTGACCATTCAAAAGGTTTGCGAACATCTGACGATCATCTTTGAAACCTTTGACGAACCCTGACGAAAAACCAACATTCTCTACGTGGGCAAACACTCACAAGCATTTCGCACTCGGTGAGATACGGGCTTAAACAGTTATGCTTTATTTTTTCTTGCACTGAAGGAAGATGGCCATCCCTCTACATCTGCTTATGCACAAACTCTTTCTCTCTGAGGCGAATGCTTGAGTTAGGTGCGAAGTCGACTCTGTATCAAATGACATAACATAATTGATGCCTACTGTATTTGAAATTGGTTTAATTGCAATTTGACACATTTCTGTAATTGTATAAATTATAGTCCACGTTGAGTTTTTTCCTACCTGTGGCAACAATAATCCCTGGTGCAGAGCTCTTCGTGGAGATTGCCCCGGACAGGTAGGGGTTCTCTGAAGTTTGTAGTTGAAGATGAAGGGAACAAAAAGGCTAGAAAATAAAATCAAAACAGGACTGCAAATTTGAAACAGTGCCAAGACTAAAGTAGACTACATTATAACCTAGAAAATGGAAGTATGATAACCTATAAATACAGTTGAGTTGAGTAGTGTTGGAAGGGTATCAAACGACAGCTAGGAGAGTTACCCGGTCTGATAAATTATTGTTGAAATGCATTATGCATTATGAAATTTCTTCATAAGAATAAGAGCAATGAAGGCTTAACTTTGAAATGGGGATCCCGCCTGGATTCAGCGGTGAATCATAAATGGATATGTTTGTTGCTTTGTTCAGTTTTTATATTTATTTGTTCATTCAGGCATTTATAGTTGGTTTGGAATTGCTTACATTTCACATTTGAACTGTGTGCCACCAAGGTCAAGCAGTAATATAAGGATGTGACAGTGGTATTATGGTAGTTTCTGCTCAGCAAAAAAAGTATGCAGAGATTACATATACATATACAGTATATACCTGTATATATATATATATATATATAGAGAGAGAGAGAGAGAGAGAGAGAGAGAGAGAGAGAGAGAGAGAGAGAGAGAGAGAATTATTCCATCATCCCCCTATCCAGATCTGCAGTAAAATATAATTTATTTGGTTAATTTTATTCAGAAAAAAACCCAAAACCTAGGCATTTTGTGCTTGGTACTATAAATGTGTTTGTCATTCTTTGTTTCTGGTTTTAAACACAAGCATAGCAACTCATTGACTCTTACCAGTATGCAGTGAATTTGATTTCCATCCAGGTCGGTTGCCGGGGCTTGCAGGAGCCTCCAATCTCTGCCTTTGTTGTAGGTGATGAAGGTCTTTACTTGGTTGTCTTGCCTTTTGTTCGCAATCAACATGCCTCGAATGCCTGCAACCTAATGGCCACACACAATTAACACAATTCATTTAAACCTCATCCTTGTGATACTCTTGGGAAGTGTTCATGCTTGTCAGATGAGTTTAAAAGAGTTTATAGTCACTTGACTTTCCATTGATCTTATCGGCTATAGCAGATCAGCTCAGCTGAGTCGTTCATTTTCTGATCGACCGTAATTCGACGGCATGTCATTGATCAGATCCATGAATGGAGACATTAATTAAAGTTGCAGTGTGTCCCACATGTACATTTATCTGTGCGGGGCCAGATAATTTTGGCTCCCATGGTTGGATTTCGGCGCTCCCTGCCAATTTGTAACAATTGTATGATATTAACTTGGTTATGTTATGTCGCTGTGCTCCTTATACTGTATGGTCCTTGTGTGGGTCTGGTAATCAATATCCCTACTGCTTTCCTTGGTGCCTCAAATGACTAACGTATCAAATGTATTAGTGTTTAAGTTTGAGATTTGAGCTTGGAGGTATAAGAGGCGTCGACAACTCAAACAATATTGATCCCTAATTCAAAAGACGGTCTGGCCGTCGTGTCACAGCACACTTGTCGCTATTTTGTTATCTTTGTGTGGCTTTTCGCCTGGAAACACCACTCTATGTTGGACAAAGCTTACATACAGTCATCAGGATATTCAGTCCGCTGCAGAAAAGATTCTGATGGGAAGCGAATCAAAATTACAGCACCAGCGAGTGCGGCGATTGATTTTATGAACCCCACCCAATGAATCCTGCATTATCCACATTTGTGCCACTTTAAAGTTGTGCACGTCATCTTTGCATCGCAAACAAATACATTTGCAACTGTGCACAATTACGATAACTACTGTCGAATGTCAGCGTCACACTTCAATTGATACTGCTCTGCAGCTGGGGCATGTAAATCCACAGGTTTTTCAGGGAAATAATTTTGAAATGGGTCCAACTAAAGCATTTACATCAGTTGTGATTTTATTTACGGCTTGTTTTAAAAGCAGCTACATTATGGGTGTCAAACTCATTTTTGTCGCGGGCCTGATTTTAGTTTCCCTTGGAGGGCCATTATGACGGAAACCATGTAAAGAAGTCAAGAATAACGGTTTATTTATCTATTGTTTAAGTGACTGTAATGAAGGGTTTCACAACAAGAAAATGCTTACAGTATCACTCTTATTTATTACAAATGAGAATTAGAAATTTTTGTAGAGATTTTATCAAGCATCGTGAAAGTTGACATCTTTGATTTGCTTTTGTGGGCCACGTAAAATGATGTGGCAGGCCAGATCTGGCCCCCAGGCCTTGAGTTTGACACCTGTGAGCTACATTGTCAATAAAAATCAAGCTCCACTCATTTGTTCAGGAATAATCGTTTCATATTCAAATCACACCCCTTGTTTTTGTTTGGTTTTCCTTTCCTTCCTTGGGGCATGGTTGATCAACATTGGCAAAATGCTTGATAATACTTTTGTTTATACTCGTAAGCAGTGCACAGATATAGGCTATGCAGCCATTAAAACAAGTTAGTTAAATAGATATTTGCGCCGTCTCGTGATTGGATCGATGATTGAGATCTATATTTCAACTCGCAAATCAGTAATTGGCCACAAAAATCCTGATTGTGCACAGTCACGAGACACAGAAACGTTTTTTTTTCTTGCATTGAAGCAGCACTCTTCACAAACTTGCACAGTTACATGCAAACGACCTGCTTGTGTTTGACTTCTGTAGTTGACAGAATAACAGACAGTCACCAGCAATATTTCTTGTTCTGTGTTAAGCATTGTCACTAAGTACATATCTTTGTGAATCAGTCGACACAAAACATCACATCCATTGATAAGTGACATTTTATTGTGAGGAGATTGTGTCCTCACAAGGAAGGTCCACACATCTCAATTCTTCTTGAGACACCCTGGTTGTTGTTACACTGAAGTGAGAGAAAAGCTTCAGCAGCTCCGAAGTATGTTCGAAAAATGAAAGGACAGAGCCTCTCCAAAAGGTTAACCTAGTGAGGGGTTTCGGTGTTCAGTTCGGTCTTTAACTCCCTTGAGAGGTACAGCCGTGTAAATGGCACGAATAGGCGTCAAATTTGACATTGTCAGAGACACACAACATGCAGGATTAATGTGCCGAATGAGGGTCTCTGCGTTCTTGTCTGACCCCATCTTTCACTCACTGTAGTTAGGATATGTTTACACTATGTTCACAGCAGCCCATTTGAGGACACTGTGAACGCAAAAGAATGGACATGAGACAATGAGGGTGGACGGGATCGGCACATAGTCCCGTAGCACCCGCAGTCTTGTCACATCTAACCAATGAAACTGTTCCGAGTCTGTTCTCATACTGAACAATTGTCAGCCACTTGCAGTTGAAGTGCGCAAGTGCCCTGTCACAGAGACACACGGAGTCGTGTGCGTACAGCAGTACGCGGCTGTGTAGAAACAAAATGTAAAGGATACAGGGCTGCAGCACACCTGCGACCCTCATAAGGATAAGCCTATGTGATAATGGACGGAGAGTAGATGAGTAGTGAGTAGTTGAGTTTAATGAGCATAGGGAACAAGTGCCATGAATGCTTGGAGTTGTATAAGGTGAACAGGACCCTAAGAGCCTTCGTTGCGAACTCGATGAGGATGTGGAAAACCACACTTGAACCCAATGGCAAGCCACTTACCCAAGTGTCCATCAAATGTGGCATATACCAAGGTGATGCACTCTCCCCACTGCTGTTCTGCATAGGACTGAACCCCCTAAGCCAAGTAATCACCAAGACAGGCTATGGATACCGCCTCAGAAATGGAGCTACGATCAGTCACCTCCTCTACATGGATGACATAAAGCTGTATGCTAAGAGC